GACCACAGGACTTTTAATCTCAGGGCTGGGAGTTGAAGCCCCACATTGACCATGGAGCCTACTTAAACAATAATAATAATTATTATTATTATTGCCAGAAACTGCCAGTTTGAAATCAAAATGGGGAACAAAGTCCATAAACAAGAACAAACTCCCCTAGAATAAACATAAAAAAAGTGTCAAGCCTTTATGAAGAAACTTAGAGGCCTCTTGTAGGAAGCTATAATAAAGAATAAATAGAAAGTCAACCCATGTTCCTAATAGGAAATATTAAATATTGCAGATATATTCTTTCCAATCTGTGACATTTAAAGCATTTTGAGCTACAGTTATCGAATCATTGTGATATCAGCACAGAAAAGGACATGTATATCAACTCTAAAATCCAATAAACAATGTTGTGGAAGAATTTAGTTTATGGCAAAAGTGGCATTTCAAGTAAGTAGTCTGAAATAACTGCCTGGATATTTGGGGAAATGTAAATTTTTACCTCACAAGAGACACAGAAACAAATTTCAAGTGGATTAAAGATTTAAACATTAAAACAAACAAAAGTAACAGAAGAGAATTAAGGAAATATTTTCATATGGGTATAGGAAAGGAAGCCTTGCCTAATATGCCACTAAGTTCCAACATCGTAATAAAAAATATGTTTAAGAAACAAAATCCAAAAATGTCTACAAAAGAATAGGCACCAGAAAGAAAAAGGAAATTATAGATTTCAAAGGAAAATATTTGAAATATATGTAATGGTTAAAGAAAGCAACATGTTTTTGATTTAAAAACAAAACAGAGGCGTCTGGGTGGTTCAGTCAGGTAAGCATCTGACTTTGGTTCAGGTCATGATCTCGTGGTTTGTGGATTTGGGCCTCACGTCAGGGTCTGTACTGACAGCTCAGAGCCTGGAGCCTGCTTCAGATTCTATGTCTGTCTCTCTGCCCCTTTCCCACTCGCAATCTCTCACTGTCTCTCTCAAAATAAGTTAAAAAATAATAAAATCAATTTTTAAAATATTCTTTAAAAAAACAAAAAACAGATTTTGGAAAAAACAGTATGCATGTATCATTAATGTTAAATATAAAAATGCATCAAAACAATCAAATATAAATTAAATTATTACACTGACTTTTTTTATGGGTTGGTAAAAATAGACTTTTGCTGCCATATCCTACAAATTTCTACAGTGATTACAGGCTACAAGAAAAAATATATAAATATTCTCATTTTGAAGAACAAGAAGTAAAAGAGGGAGTTCTTTAGAGGAGAACTTCATTACTAAATAATAATCCTGAGTTAGTGAGTGCTTGATAGTCTCCAGCTTGTAGAATATTTACAAACTCCTCGGTGACTAAGGAATTGGATGATTTAAAAACTAGTGACTTTTCCGTCTGAGGAGATAATCTGTAAAAAGCAATGACAGTAGGTTCGCTAGTCAATGAAAGTAGTCATAAAGTCTAAAAGCTTGTTTTAAAAGAAATGGACAATAGTGGAGGCGCCTGAGTGGCTTAAAAGAATAGGCACCAGAAAGAAAAAGGAAATTATAGATTTCAAAGGAAAATATTTGAAATATATGTAATGGTTAAAGAAAGCAACATGTTTTTGATTTAAAAACAAAACAGAGGCGTCTGGGTGGTTCAGTCAGGTAAGCATCTGACTTCGGCCCAGGTCATGATCTCATGGTCTGAGAGTTCGAGCCCTGCTTCAGGCTCTGTGCTGACAGCTCAAAGCCTGGAGTCTGCTTTGGATTCTGTGTCTCCCTCCCGCTCTCTGCCCCTCCCCTGCTCTACGCTGTGTGTGTGTGTGTGTGTGTGTGTGTGAAAAGTAAACATCTAAAAAATTAAGAAAAAAAAAAAAATAGACACTAGTGAACGTCCCATTTCTCCTTCCCAAGGATCCAGCTTCTCACCACCCATTCTGCTCCATCCTCAAGGTTGTCAAACTATCAAGGGAAAGACAAAAATGCCGGTGATGTTTCATATTACCTGTTGTGGTTTTCATTCTGTTATTCGCTGCATAAAAATAGAGAACAAAGAAAATGGAGGAGGAGAAGAGACAGAGCTGGAAGAGCAGGGGGAGAAGGAGAAGATTCTCAGCTCTTAACATTTCAAAATAAGGTTTTGGAAACTCCCTGAAGAGAGAGTATGTGAAAGGAAAAGGTTTGGGACAGCAGAAGCCAACATTAATGCCATAAATTGGGAAGAATGCCCAGGGTGGTAGGTGGTTCCCCACCTAGACTTGCTAGAGTTTCCACAGCCTGGGAGAGGACAGAGTCCAAAGGAAGCAATCCAATTAGCTAGAGTCCCCGCTGGAAGGTGAGGGGTGACAGAGTATGGTGATGAGAAAGTTAATTCGGGATCTAAGGGCTTGCTTCCCAGGTGAGATAAGGTCCAAGAGCCTCTTCCCTCATGACAACAGAGTGAAAGCACGACCGGAGGGGTGGCAGCATGGTGTGTTGGCCAGAGGCCTGAGACAGCCTCTCAAGCCTCCCACCACCTCAGAATGGCATGAAGGAGCAGGGGAAAGTTTTCCTCACCCCAGAAGGGCTACAAAAGTGGCTGAGAGAGAACCAGAGTACCTGAAGGGGCCTTGAGTTTCCCAGTGCAGTGTGTGAACTGATGACCAGAAACAGAAAACAAACAGCAGCAGCAGCGGGAGCCACGTTAAAGAGACGACTATCACGAATCAGCTCTCCCCCACCCCTGGGCCCTCACTCGGGCAGATGCCGCCCCCACCCTGGATAGAGAAAGGGGATGGAGTAAATCCTGAGTTAACTGAAGAAACCTGGCGTTGTCCAGATTAAGCCTCAGGTATCAGGTAAAATGGGGCTTTACATTTTACATTTCTATAGGTCTGAATTTGTGGATTGTGCAAATTGAACCCATCACACCTGCTTTACAGGATTGTTTCCACAGGACAAGTTGAGAGTGAGATCAGGGAGGCCCCATACACACCCTTTCGGCGACCAGACAGCTCATGACTTCATTGCCCAGTCTCTTTTGGCTCCACTACTTACCAAACACAAGGGTGCTGCAATTTGGCCAAGTTCATTCACCTCATTTTTACGATAAGCAAGAATATCCAATGAGGGGCACCTGACTGGCTCAGTTGGTAGACCGAGGGATCCTTGATCTCGGGGTTGTGAGTCCGAGCCCCATGTTGGTGGGTGTGAAGATGGCTTAAAAATAAAATCTTAGGGGCACCTGGGTGGCTTAGTCAGTTAAGCGTCCGACTTCGGCTCAGGTCATGATCTCTGTGAGTTGGAGCCCCGTGTCAGGCTCTGTGCTGACAGCTCAGAGCCTGGAGCCTGCTTCAGATTCTGTGTGTCATTCTCTCTCTGCCCTTCCCTGACTCGTGTTCTGTCTCTGTCTCTCAAAAATAAATAAATGTAAAAAAAATTTTTTAAGATAAAATAAATTAAAAATAAATAAATAAAATCTTAAAAAACAAATATTCCAGCGCATTTACCTCAGAATTAACATATTTCCTTTTCCCACATACAAATAATGTGACCAGTGCTTTTACTTCAGTGACTCCACCTGTAACACAAGACATTCTCTCTAACCTGATAAGACACACTGATTCAAGATTTCCTTTATATAGGAGGATACATGATTCAACAAAGCATTTTCCTCAGGAGCTAAAGTCCAGACAAGGTTTGCTATTTGCTTGTCAAATCCAATCTGATTGCACTGGGTTAAAATCAGCTCAGTTGATTACCTGTCTTCACCTCTGCCAATCACCCCATAAGGACATCGATTGTTTTTCCTTTAAAGTTATACCACTGGGAGCAAGAAAGTGATATTCATGAATGTACTTATCACACTAATAGTGCAACTGCTTATCTACGGTGTGCTGAGTATCTTGCCTAATTACTCAAACTTGATGACTAACCCCATTTTATAGATTAGAAAACTGAGTCTCAGAAAGGTAAGTTCCAATAACGGCATGGAGTAAATGACAACGCCTATTTCAAGGTGTTTTTTTTTTTTAATTTAAGTAATCTCTACACCCCACATGGGGCTCAAACTCATGACCCCAAGATCAAGAGATCCGCGGTCCTCCAACTGACGGGACGTGGGGGAAGGAACAATATCTATATTTAATCCAAGTCGGTCTAACTTCTTTTCACTCCACCGACAGCCTGCTAATGGAAATGTAAGAACTTCTCTTAAGCTTATATTTTTAAAAATTCTTGTCAAGGAACTCAAGATCTAGGATAACAAGTTATTCTACCACTCCTACCCCTCTCACTTCCTACCCAACTCCACCACACACTTTGTCTCTGCCACACTCACTCATATGTATTCCCTAAACCCACGTGCCCGCTCTAAAGCCTTTACAGAAGCTGTTCCCCTCTGTTACCACTATCCTATCCTTCTTCCCCACTGATAAGAATATCAACCAGGTATCAGAAGGCGACTGAAAGCTTTGCTTCCTCTCCCAAGGACAATTAGCTGCCTCCCTCCACTCCAGCTTCCTCAACTCGGTCTATCTTTCCACCACGGCACACACATGCCACTTGAGATTGGCGTCTGCCCGCAAATGCCGCCGTCACCGCTTCCAGACTGTGAATTCCCAAAGCCAGAGCCCAGGGCCCGTATCTTAGGCAGCCGGGCACTGTGGGAGTTCAATACTTGGTAAGTTAATGGCTGGATTTTAAGTCAAGGGCTATACTTTACATCTTCTAGACTGTGAATGACTCATAGGTAGGTAAGTACTGTGAAGTAAACTGGCTCTCACCAAAAGATTTTAAGGAAAACCACAAAGGATAAAGTTTTCACTCACCCAAAGACAGCTTTTTACGAAACCCCGCCCCCGTCTCCTCATAGGCTCTTCCCAGGGATGGCCCCGCCTCCCTCCCTGCCAATCGATCGCTCCTCGCTCCCGCGCAAGGGCCGTCCGGAGCCCCGCCCCAGTCACCGCCCCGAGGCTGTCTCTGGCGGTTAGGTCCCGTGGGGGCCGTTCCTTTAACGGGCCCGCCCAGCATGACGATCACCTACAGCTGTATCGCTAATGGCAGAGCGGTCCTGGCGGAGCTGGCCCTGACCGGCGGCTCCTATCAGGTACCCCTGGGTCCGGACCTCCGCCTGGGCGGGTTCCGCGCTTCAAAGCTGGTGCCTGCCGGCCCGCCCCTCAGGGCGCTGCGCTGCCGGGCGGCCGGGAGCGAGCCCTGGGGGCGAGAGGCACCGCCCCGCGAGAGGCCGGCTTCTGGGAGGCGGTGAAACCCGGGCGGGAGCCAGCGCGCTTCGAACGGCGGAGCCACACGTGCGCCGCCTGGGGGTTAGGGCTGGTGGTGCGCGCGACCCGTTTGGCGGTGGTTAGTAGCCGCGTGCAGCTGCAATTCCGGAGACCCTTAAACATTTTTTTACCCCTGCAGAGAAGTGACTTGCAGTTCAACACACGTTTATTGAACATGTGTTATTTGGTGAAGGTACAGGGGATGAAGTAAAGAAGACGGGACCCGGAGTTGCCCATTGATGTCTCTTTATGACCAAGGGCTATAAACAGTTTTTCCTACAGGGTAAAAAGTCTTCCAGTCAAGAGATAGGTTGGGATTGCTCCTGAGGCACTCAGGATGGGTGGCTCCTTGCTCACCGCAGCAGACGTGATATTAGGGTGCTTGGCGTGGAAGCCTTATAAGAGTTAGTGTTAGCCTGGGACAGGAAAGGGGACTCCTGCATTCAGATGGAACAGCACAGTGTGTTGGGAGAACCTCAAGACTCGGTGTGGCTAGAGCACAGGGTCACAGTATGTAAGGGCTAAAGATCAGGTCAAGAAAGCGGGCAGAGGCTAGTTAAGAGTCCTATATTCAGTTTGTTATCGTAGGGGAACCTGGGGAGCAATTATTCGCTTATAGCAGGATCTGATTCATCTTCCACAAAATTTGGTCTAGTTACAATATGGAAGGTGGATTGGAGGGGAGATAACCAGTTAGGATGGTATTGTTGTTTCTCTAGGAGTTTTAAGGACCTGAGCTAAGGACCGGTCACTAAGGACCGTGACAGTGCAAATGGAAAGGAAGGGGCAGATCCTAAAAAGACTTTGTAAAACTAAGGGAACAGGATCATGCCTAGGATGATTCTCCATTTTTTTGTCTTTTTTCCCCCCAGAATTATTGAGCCATAATTCACATTGACAATGTGTAAATTGAAGGTGTACAACGTGATGATTTGTCAAATTTTGTTCTTAGGTGGCATTAAACAAGATTGAAACTACAGATGGAGGAGCAGGATTGTGAGGGAGGATGTCAGAGGGAATGCAGGGGAGGAGAGTACAGTTGGAGACAGGTTGAATTTTGTTGCCTGTTAGAAGCGGCCAATCTATTTATGTACTTCTTCCTCCACCTTATTCCCAAAAGATTTAAGTCAAAAAATGTTCATTAGGTAGCACGCAGAGGCTCAGGACTAACAGCTGAAGATAGTAGAAGGGGATGGAAAAGAAAAGTATGGGAGTGGGGAGAGACAAGGACGAAAAGAACACTGTTCGGGAGCAGAATAGAGAAGCGGGACACCAAATGAGAGCAGCAATGTCCTGAAAGCCAAGAGAAGAGAGCTACAAGAATGTTTTATGCCCCAAAGAAGTTGAACAAGGTCGAAAAGGTACTCCTTGGACTCTACAGTCAGCAGATGATTGGTGACCATGTAGTTAGCAGTTTGGAAGAAGTGACAGAGGCGGAAGCCAGACTGCTTTGGGCCAACTGAATGGGAGATGAGGAAGCAGGGTGAGTGTACTTAGACCATCTTTACAAGAATTTAGAAAAGGAGGGAGAGAGGGTGAAAGCTGAGGAAGCAGGATCCAGGAAAGGGCCTCATGTCTCAAAACAGGGAAAATTCTCAATGTCTGTAGGCTAATGGGAAGGAGGAAAGGTTGAAGATCTAAGAGAGGAGGAAATTATTGGTACAGTGAGACCTGAAGGAGCTCAAAGGAATGGAATCCAACATAGCAGTGGAGACGTGGGTCTTGGATTAGAGAACTGTCTCCTTTCTCTTGGGGAATGGAAGAGTCTGGATATAGAGACCTAGAACTTGGTCTCCTTCCTGGCTCTCCTCTTTACCAGTCCCTTAAGTGCTATGTTGCTCAAGGCTCTAACTTCTGTCTCTTAACCTGACACCTTCATTCACACCCGTAGACACCTTTACCTTGACCACTGCCAAGTCCACTTCCAGAGTAATCTCTCTCCACAGTTACATTGCCCAATAGAACTTCAAACATACCATGTCCAGAACAAATCATCTTTCCTAGCAGATTCCTCCTCATCTGTTTCTCATCTTGCTCAGTAGCTCTACTGAGCGATTCAAGCTGGAAACTGGGAGTAATCCTCAACTGCCCCTTCTGCACTTTCACATTTGTTCATTCGTAATTTTGTTCTATCAGTTCTGTCTCCAGCATATGTCCTGAAGCCAAATCCTTGCTTCTGAACTTTCTAGGCCCTGATACCAGGGTTATTGAAAATGCTTCTTTGGCACCTGGGTGGCTCAGTTGGTTAAGCATCTGACTTTGGTTCGGGTCATAATCTCACAGTTCATGAGTTCGATTCCTGCATCAGATGAGCTCGAGCCCTGCTTCCAATGAGCCCTGCTTCTCTCTCTCTCTCTCTCTCTCTCTCTCTGCCCTTTGCTCACTTGCACCCTCTCTCTCTTAGAGAGAGAGAGAGAATTCTTAAAAAAGAAAAGGAAAAAAAATACCTCTTAGGCATGGTCTCCCAGACTTTAGCCTTGTCCTTCTCAGAACTGGCCTCCACACTGCTACCCAAGTGATTGTTCCTAAGAGCAAATATGATGTCACTCTCCTGCTTAAAATCATTTCGTGGTACCTGATTACATTCAGAATAAAGCCCATATCCCTTTAGCCTGGCATTCAGGGCCCTCCCTGGTAGGGTTTTTCCATGACTGCCTCTTTCTCTTCTCACATATCCTTGTGCTCCAGCTACCCTGAACTTCATGCTGATCTCACCAAGGTCTCCCTTTGCACCTCCAATTCCCTTTCCCTGGAACCCGTTTTTCTCCACTGTTTAGCAATGTAACCTTTTCTGGGCTTTGAAACTTTTCTCAATTCTTCCTTGAAGCCTTCTCTATGCCTACACTAATTTACATATCTTTAAGAAACTACTTACCAGGCTGAATTGGAATCTTCTTTTTCTGATCTGCCACTGCCATCAGACTCCTTCAGTCCAGGGACTGTCATCTCTGTCTTTGCAGTGTACGATCCATAGCATATAGTAGGTTCTCAGTAAAGAATTAATTGGGGCACATGGGTGGCTTGGTAGGTTAAGCTTCTGATTCTTGATATCAACTCAGGTCATGATCTTGTGGTTCATGGGATCAAGCACCAAGTAGGGCTCTGTGCTGCCAACACAGATTCTCTCTCTCCCCACCATTCTGCTCCTCCCCTGATCACATTCTCTGCATCTCTCAAAATAATAAACATTTTTAACAGAACAAAACAGGGATGCCTGGGTGGCTTATTCCGATTTCAGCTCAGGTCATGATCTCACAATTCACGGATTCGAGCCCCACATTCGGCTCCACACTGACAGTGCAGAGCCTGCTTGGGAATCTCTCTCCCTCTTTGTCTCTGCCCCTCCTCTAGTCTTGTTTCTCTCTCTTTCTCTCTCTCTCTCTCTCTCAAAATTAAATAAATAAACTTAAAAGCAAACAATTAAGGAAGGAGAGAAACAGAAAGTTGAAGCAATCTAGAAGGCAGAAGGCCTCTCTTTATGAAGCATGCAGGAAAGTAAGACAGTGGAAGGGAACAGTATACAGTTGGAGGACAGGATTACAGGTTTGCCTGACTGCTGTGCAAAAAGCTGACCGGGGGAACAAAAAGGATGACAAGGAGCTTTAAGGAACAGTCTATCATGTCTTTCCTCAGTGCTAAACAGTAATGTCACAAATACTTTACATTCATTAGAAAAATATTAGTTATCTACCAAAGCTTAATCGTGAGATCAAACCACTGCTGTTATAGGATCTTGGAGCTGGACAGGATACTAGAGAGCATCTTGCCCAATTCCTTCATTCTTTACATGAGGAAACAGACCCAGACAAGTCACTTTCTTAAGATTTGCAGCACAATAATTTCAGAAAAAGAGCTAGAACCCACTCTCTCATTCCTGTTACTGCCTCATGTTGCCTTTCACTTTATTTCAGATTTTGCTATGACTTCCCTGTTTATATAACCTAGAAAGGACACTTGGTGAAAGCTAGGAGAATGTTCCAGTGACGATAATATAGTAACTGGAAATTTATGTATTCCCTTACTTTTTTTGTGTTTCGTAGGAAACCTTTCCCTGGAAAATACCGCCTGAATTGTTCAGGCAATACCAAGAATTTCAAGTTTTACTTTCTACTGTTAATAATAAGTTTTTCCCTCCCAAGAAGTTTTTATTTCATGTGTCATTTAGTGGAAATGGAAAAGTTAATTAGGAATGTGACTATTCAAGTCTTCCTAGGTAACTTTCAGGTTCCTTTCAAACTTCTAAAGTAAATTAATAGGACTCCATACAATTAACTATATTTAAGATATTCTGGATAATCGTTAACATCGCGTATGTTTTCCTCCTGGAAAATGAGCCTTACAAGAAATAGATAATAAATAAAGGATCTTGGCAATTATTTCTTTCATAGAAAGAGACCAATAAATAATATTGAAAAAATTTCTCTTAATCAAAATAAAGAAAGAAGACTGCTTAGGATATTCAGAGAATAAGAGCTGAATACTTTTAACCCATTAACATTTTTACGTATTTCAGTACACTGAAAAGATACTTGATTAGATAGTGCTTCCCAGCCTTAAAGCCATATGTAAACTGTAACTCTAAGCAAACTGCATTTGCACGTGTAAGTATACACAGTGTATATTTGTGTAATTTAAACATTTTCCTTCAGATTCAAATGAATATTTTATAACTTGCCTTTCACTGTGCATTATGACTACCCATTAGTTCTCCTCGTGAACACTTGTTCTTTAATAAACCAATGAGAACATTGGTAAATGTAGGGGGTGGAATAATGAAAGGCACTACAATCTTCCACAAAGTAAATGCTGATAATTTATTTTTAGGAAGCAGCGGCAACAGTGCTTCGACTGGTGCTTCTTAGAGCTGAGCCAAAGACCATCATGCGGATGGGAAGGTAAGTTATATTCTAATAAAGGTCTGCTTTTTAATAATAATAATAACATGGGGGAAAAAAATTTGGTTGCACATGCTCTTGATTGAACCTTCAGAAGGGAGAATGTTTATATGTAAAAGTATAAGATCAGATGAGAATGATTAACACCAGATTCAAGATCGTGGTTACCTCTGCAAAGGAAAGGGAGAAAAACAAAGTTGGGGAAGGGTATACATGAGCCATTAATGTTATCTGTAACATTTTAACCAGATAGTAGGTCTAAAGTGTTCTTGTTACCTTATTCTTCATACTTCTTTAGTATACCCAAAATATTTCTGTAATAAAAAAGGAAACTTCCACTTGAAAACTCTTTAATAAGAACACTCTAAGCTGTACATGGGATATTACATGGTATGGTCTAACTCAGTCTTGAAAACATTTTGCTAGTAAAAGAACAGGTGGGGAATAAGAGAGCATCTATTATTTTTAGATTCACCATTGTTTTTTTTTTAAGAGTAGGTTTCTTTTAACCTTTACACTGCTAGCCACCCCCAACTTTCCCCCCACCATGTGCTCTGTCCCATCCACGGCTTCCTCCCTCTCCCCCAAACCAACCAATGTTCCAACTTCTATAGCCATCACTCACCTGTTTCTTCATTGCCACAACTAAATATGCAACCTCAGACATGAGCTCCTAATCCTACCCACTCTTTTCTTTTGGTGCTAAACTTTTAAATCTCTTTATATTTTCCCTTTCCATTGCCTTTCTTTTCCTTACAGTTTATCACTGAAGAACCTGTGGAGTGTAGAGTTTCCCACACTCTGACTTTGCTGATTGTGTATTCAGAATGCAGTTTACTCAGTTTCAAGCAACTGGATCCATAGGCTTGATCCCTTCGCCAAGACGATAGGTGTTTTTTTATGAAATGGTACATATGTCTGCTTCTGTCTCCTTTTGCCATGCTGGCAGCTATTTACACTCCTTGCCTGCACCATAGAGCCATTAATTGATTGGGGAGTGCAAAATGGTGATATTCTAGTTTTGTTTTCACTTCTTAGCCAGTGTGATTTCAAAAAAGACACTTCTCGGGTTGCCTGGGTGGCTCAGTTGTTTGGGCGTCCAACTTTAGCTCAGGTCATGATCTTGCAGTTTGTGGGTTTGAGCCCCACGTAGGGCTCTGTGCTAACAGCTAGCTCTGTGCTAACAGAGCCTGGGGCCTGCTTAGGATTCTGTGTATCCCTCTCTCTCTCTGACCCTCCCCTGCTCACGCTGTCTCTCTCTCTCTCTCAGAAATAAATAAAACATTAAAAAAAAAATTTTAAATAATAAATAAATAAGACACTTCTCTCATCTACAGTTTATTTACCTATATTGTGCATTCTAATTTGAATCCTTTGAATACCTCTTCCTGAACTCCTGATTCATATCTCCAACTGCCTATTCCACATCTCTGTCAGACGCCTGATAGACATCGCAAACTTATGTCCAAAACCAAGCAGTCTTCCATGTATCGCCTTTCCAGTTCCTCAGGCCTGAAACCTTTCTGATTCTTGGCTTTTGTCTCTTTGACATCCAAATCCAGCCCGTCTACAAATCCTGTTGCCTTTCCCTTCCAAACATATGTCCACCATCTGACCACCTCCACCACTGCTGTAGGAACCACGCCACCATCGTCTCACGTCTGGGTTACTCGATACAAAGTGAAGTTCATTTTGGTCTTTGTGGGTTTTTTTTTATTTTTAAGCATTTCTCTCTTAAACTTTGATTTAATAGCATTTTATAATTAGGGAAAACTCGTATGTGATTCCAAAATCAACTTGAGAAAACAAGTTTCCTTCAAAAAGTCTAATTTTCATTCCTTCCTCTCTGCACTGTTCTCCCTCTCCCCCTATACAGGTAACCATTTTGACTAAGTTTTTAGTTTGTCATTTTCCTTTTCTTTGCTTTTTTTTTTGTGTAAGAGAAACGTGCATATATATGTGCACTTCCCTTAAGGAAGAACATGAGAATGATAGATAAGTGGTAGCACATCATACCCGCTTTTCCTCATCTCGCTTTTGTTAGTTACCAGTGTATCCTGAACATCGAGTATTGAAGGTTTTTTAACTTTTAAAATTCTTTTTCTTTTTAATGTTTATTTATTTTTGAGGGAGATAGAGACACAGAGACAGAGTATAAGCGCGGGAGGGGCAGAGAGGGAGCCACAGAATCTGAAGCAGGCTCCAGGCTCTGAGCTGTCAGCACAGAGCCCCACGGGTGCCTCAAACTCATAAACTGTGAAACCATGCTCTGAGCAGAAATCGGACATTTAACCTACTGAGACACCCAGACTTCCCAAGGTTTTTTAACTTTTAAAGATGATTTCTTTTTTTTTAAGACAAGTGATCTTTATTATTATTATTATTATTTTGAGAGGGAGAGTGTGCATGCGAGCAGGGAAGGGACAGAGAGAGAGAAAGAGAATCCCAAGCACACTCCACAGTCTCAGCACAGAGCCTAACGTGGGGCTCCAACTCACAAACCATGAGATCATGACCTGAGCCGAAGCTAAGAGTCAGATGCTTAACCAACTGAGCCATCCAGGTGCCCCTAAAGATGGTTTCTGAATGTTACTCAGCAATAACTTACTAAGCATAAATTTAAAATAACTCCTCCCATATATCCAATATCAATTTACTTCAAATCATACCTATAACTTTCAGAGAGATGATAGAATTAGCAACTTTTTTTCCACAAAGACTCCTCCCAATTTAGAAATAAAAATATTTTCCAAATGGAGATGATGTGTATCAATCGATGTCATCATTCAAAATATCTGTAGCAAATATATATATACAGGTAGCATATTCTATTCATGATATGACATGAAGGATTTACATTTAAAGGGCGCATACTTTACATTCGCTGCCTCTGGGATTATCTTTTCTACCTGTTTCTAAGATTCATCACTTTTGTGTATATCCAATTTAGCATTTGACCAGGTCTGTTGCCTGTTAACCATTTGGATATAGAGTGTTCAAAATGACTAGCTGAAAGTCTAGGCACCAAGCAGCTATGTTTGTTGCCATATTCTTAAATTTTCTGCATTGTTGGGGAGTAAAGATAGAGGCACTTGCCAAGAGTCTTCTAGCTTGCTCGTCTGTGGCTCTGAGAAGGCACAAAAGGTCAGATCAGATACTTTTGCATACTATAGGGGAGTTTAATTTCTGCCCCCCAATTCATCTGGTTCTTTAGAATATTTAGTATTAACAGTTTACAACTTTTTTTCATTAATAATTTATTTATTTTTTAATTTACATCCAAGTTAGTTAGCACATGGTACAACAGTGGTTTCAGGAGTAGATTCCTTAAAGCCCCTTACCCATTTAGCCCATCCCCCTCCCTCAACCCCTCCAGTAACCCTCTGTTTGTTCTCCATATTTAAGAGTCTCTTATGATTTCTCCCCCTCCCTGTTTTTATATTATTTTTGCTTCCCTTCCCTTATGTTTATCTGTTTTGTATCTTAAAGTCCTCATATGAGTGAAGTCATATGATATTTGTCTTTCTTCAACTAATTTCACTTAACATAATACCCTCTAGTTCTATCCACGTAGTTGCAAATGGCTACAACTTTTAAATTCTAATCTATCCCAATAGAAAGCCAAGAAGTGCCAAAATTAAGTCTACCTAAAGATAGAGGGATAGTAAAAATGAGTGAACATAGCATTTTCTATTTGATCAAGATGAGAATCTTGATTCAGTCTTAGAATGAGCGATTCTATCAAAGCCATTTTAGGAGCGCCTGGGTGGCTTGGCCGGTTGAGCATGATCTCATGGTTCATGAATTCGAGCCCACTTCAGGCTCTGTGCTGACAGCTCAGAGCCTGGAGCCCGCTTCAGATTCTCTGTCTTCCTCTCTCGCTGCCCTTCCCCCTCTCGTGCTCTGTCTCCCCCCCACCTCAAAAATAAACATTAAAAAAATTTTTTTAAATCAAAGCCATTTTAAATATAGAGTTTTCTCTTTATTGTATTTCATTTTTACTGATACAATATTAAATACATATTCAAATTTCATAGTTTCTATTTAATATAATTTAATTTTTCACATATATGAAAGATTGTCTAATTCTTATTGTAAAAAGTTATCTATATAGCTTGTATACTACTAATGAGAGCTTGAAAACAAAATGATGTTCTTTATGAGGATACTTAATTTCTTCAGTGTTATCATGTAAATGAATGTGTTCTTTTCAAAGCTTTGTCTACCATACTCTCTTTATTGATGGCATCACTTACCTATGTGCCACAGACAATGCCTTGGATACTATAACACCATCTGCATTTCTTAAAAATGTAAGTAACTTCTTACACTCCTTTAAGGATTTTTTTCAGTTATTGAAATTATGAGGTCTCTGTTTTATACTGTCTTAGTAATAATGTTACTAACCAAAAGCAGATCACTGATCTGTCTATAAATCAAAGCTATTAATGACCTTCAGAGATTTCTCTTTTTTTTTTTTCACCTTCAGATATTTCTTACCCGTATCCATCATCTGCCCTGTTTCCACAGGGCCCTAAAGCGAGGTCTTCAAAGACTATCTACACAGATCTATTAGACTCTCTCCTTGTGTTTATCTTGTTCTTTAAAAATAAAAGAAATTAAACTTTACTAATATTTAATATACCTTGTCAAAAGCATGTGTACTTACAAATAATTGTATACAAGACACTTCTGGTTGAAAATATGAATCAATTATAAAAGTTAAATGAAAAGAAAGAATTCTTTAATCAAGACATACTATCTTTTTTCTAAAAAAAACTTCTTTTAATGTTTATTTATTTTTGAGAGAGAGAGCGAACAAGCAGGAGAGGGGCAGAGAGAGAGGGAGACACAGAATCTGAAGCAGGCTCCAGACTGAGCTGTTAATACAGAGCGCGACATGGGGCTTGAACTCACCAACCGGAAGATCATGACCTGAGCAGAAGTCAAACACTTCACTGATTGAGCCACCCAGGCGCCCCAAGACATACTATCTTTAGGGAAAGTTTTTCCTGAAAATTGTCAGCAAATATAAAATATGGTAAATATTTAGGTATATGTACTTATATACATTCATGAGATTTTATAAATTTCTTAAAGGTTAATTAGCCTTCTCAATAGACATCACCTGTTGCTGATTATCACCCCAAGTTTGATCTCCAACCAGAACCAAGGAGACTTTGTAAAAGCCAGTCTCAGAGACAGAATAAGGCTAATCCATTATTCTAGTAACTTTAGAGCCCAGATAGTAAGTTTTTTCCCTTATTTTTAAAAGTGAAAGAGGGGCACCTGGGTGGCTCAGTCGGTTAAGCGTCCAGCTTCGGCTCAGGTCATGATCTCACTGTTTGTGAGATCAAACCCTGTGTCAGGCTCATGCTGACAGTGAGGAAGACTGCTTCGAATTCTCTCTCTCCCTCTCTCTCTGCCGCTCCCCAGCTTGCTCGCTCTCTCGTGCTCTCTCTCAAATAAAATAAACTTTAAAAAAGTAAATGATACTAATCTTTAATTTTATGCACAAATTTTTAATTCAGAATAATATTTTAATAAACAAACCAGTGGAGGGGCGCCTGGGTGGCTTAGTCGGTTAAGCGTCCGACTTTCGCTTAGGTCATGATCTCGCGGTAGTGGGTTCGTGCCCCACGTCGGGCTCTGTGCTGACTGCCAGCTCAGAGCCTGGAGCCTATTTCGGAGTCTGTGTCTCCCTCTCTCTCTGACCCTCCCCTCTTCACGCTGTCTCTCTCTCTCTCTCTTCCAGAAATAAATAAAAATATTAAAAAAAAAAAAACAATGGAAAAATTAGTCCGTTATACTAGTTACTAATTATTTCATTTTTATTGTTATTCATATTCATGAATGATGCATATATTTGATTTGCTTAGTGTACCGTCTTGCTTTAACACAACTCAAACTGTACCACATATAGAATCAAGGATTTAAGAACTGATACTGTAATTCATTCTTCAGATATGCCTTGACAATCACTAGAGTCTGGATGCTAAACATTGTTAGTCATTTAACTGACTATACTCTAATTTTTCTCTTTCTCTGCTACTGTGACAAAACATCCCAACTTTACCACCTTTCCAAAACCAGATGATCCTGAATTGCCAACCACATAAATTTTGCCACTATTTCAGGGGAATACAACATCGAGTACAAACATATGAAAAAATTCCTTCTTGAGACTTTGAAATGTCCTATAACAACCAGATGGGTTTGAATGATAGTATCACGACAGTTGGGATTGATTCATTTTCGTTGAATGGATTTTGAGGGTAAGAGCAGGAAGGCAAATGAAAAACGCTTATTTAGAATATACCATGGACTCCCATCTTTTTCGTCTCCCAGAGGTGAACATCTGCTCTTCCCCTCAAGTCCTCAGACACACCAAAGACTCCAAGTGCTATCTGCAGTCTGACTATGTGAGATTGTGGTCTGTACTGCAGCAGTGGAGAGCACTGGGCAAGCACAGTTCTCATAAATACTGTTCTTTAATTAGAAAGGACACTCTGCCACCAAAAAGCTAGAGACACTGTGGAAATACAATATTCTTTTATTTCACATTTCTGCCAGATGTTGCTTCAAGTAAACATTTGCTCTGTAATTCTCCAGTGGAAATTATCTGTATAGGTTAAATATTTCCATTAATGTCCCTAGGTTAGCGACACTTTTCTGAGAAATCCTTTGATGTCGCAAGAACATTTTTCTCCTTCAAATGCAGTTGCTGCAGATTTTCAACAAGTATTAGGGAAGTATATGGTATGTAACCTCCAACTGTACTCCTAAACATTGTATGGCAGCTGAAAAATCAGTTTGGATTAGGAGATAAGAGCTGTAATGATGAGTGAGAACTGAGGACTTCTATTCTTATATAATGATAAGGAATGATATCCTCAATATATTGTTAAGTGAATAAAGCAAGATAGAGAAAGTATATACGGTATACTATTATTTGTTTACATTCTTATATGCAGCCATTTAAGAAAGAGGGAGTAAATACAAGTATATATATTTGTTTGCTTATAGTAAAAAACAAAAAAGGGGGGTCGGGGGCAAGAAAAGGATAAATCAAAGCCATGTTAATGGTTGCCTACATAGGGATAAGGGGCAGGAATAGAAACAAGGCCTTTCTGAATGAAACTTGTTCAACAAATTTGACTTCGGAACCATGTAAATATTTTACATAATTATAGAATACTATTAAATTAAATATTTAAAAAATAGTCCCTAGAGTGAAATAAGACAGTCACAAGAGGACAAATACTGTGCTATTCCGTTTATATAAGGTACCTAAAGTCAGATTTGTAGAGACAAAAAGTAGAATGATGGTTGCCAGAGCCTGGGGGAAAAGGAAGAGGAGGAATTGGTGTTTAATGGGTATAGAGTTTCAGTTTAGGAAGATGAAAAATGTTCTGGAAATGGATGGTGGTGATTTGCACAACAGTGTGTATATACTTAATGCCACTGAACTGTACAGTTAAAAGTCATTACCATTGTAGGGGCGCCTGGGTGGCTTAGTCGGTTAAGCATCCGACTTTCACTTAGGTCATGATCTCGCGGTTTGTGGGTTCGAGCCCCGCGTCGGGCTCTGTGCTGACTGCCAGCTCGGAGCCTGGAGCCTGTTTCAGTCTGTGTCTCCCTCTCTCTCTGACCCTCCCCTGTTCACGCTGTCTCTCTCTCTCTCCTAGAAATAAATAAAAATATTTAAAAAAAAAAAAAGTCATTACCATTGTAGGGGCACCTGAGTGGCTCAGTTGGTTAAGCATCCAACTCTTGATTTCTGTTCAGGTCATGATCTCATGGTTCGTGAGTTCAAGCCCCACATCGGGCTCTGAGCTGGCAGTGCAGAGCCTGCTTGGGATTCTCTCTCCCTCTCTCTCTGCCCCTCCCTGCTCACTCTCTCTCTCTCAAAATAAATAAACTTAAGAAATATTTTAAAAAATCATTACAATTACGATTGTAAATTTTGTTATGTATATCTTACCATAATAGTTTTTTAATATTAAAAAGTAATCCCTAAAACTCAAAAAAAAAAAAAACCTACTTTTTTTTCATTATTTTAGTGTTTATTCATTTTTGAGAGAGAGAGAGGGACACAGCATGAGCAGGGGAAGGGCAGAGAAAGAGGGAAAAATAATCCAAAGAAGGCTTCAGGCTCTGACTTATCACCATAAAACCTAATTGTGTATTGAGTTGATGGCTTAAAAGACAATGTTCCCGGTGAGATATACCCTAATGACAAAACAACTAAAAAATAAATATTAAAAGTTTTTATTTTCAAGTGTCCCGTTGTTAGTAATAACATTGGTGTTGCTTTTCTAAAATTGGTTTATATAAATATATTACTTTGAGTAATCAAGTTAATGTCATTAGGAATCAAGATTTTCAGCAAGAGTTGCAAGTAAAAGTCAAAGAATTGAGTAAATCTTATAATCCTAAATTTTACTTGAAAATTAAAAACAAATTTAAAGAAAATTAAATATTGAAAATTTTAATTGAATGTTACATATTTAAACTTTTTTCACTGAAAATATATCATATGATACATTTAAAATATATACATAATGATGTATCATTACATATCACGTGATATATATTTTTTTAATATTTTTTTAATGTTTATATATTTTTGAGACAGAGAGAGAGACAGAGCATGAGCAAGGGAGGGGCAGACAGAGAGGGAGACACAGAATTTAAAGCAGATTCCAGGCTCTAAGCTGTCAGCACAAAGCCTGACATGGGGCTCAAACTCACAGACTGTGAGATGATGACCTGAGCCATAGTCAGATGCTCAACCGACTGAACCACCCAGCCGCCCCAATATATTTTCTCTTTTTAAAAACATATAATGGAACACCTCGGTGGCTCAGTCAGTTGAGTGACCAACTTTTAATTTCAGTTCAGGGCATGATCTGGCAGTTTGTAAGATCGGACCCCTCATGATTTGGGATTCTCTCTCTCCCTCTTCTCTCGGCTTCTCCCTAACTTTCTCTCTCTCAAAATAAATAAACATCTTAAAAAATAAAAATATTTCCTAGGCTGTCTATTGAAAAGCACCAGAAATAATGACCTACCCAGTAGCAGTGTGCCTCCTTAGCATCTAGATTATTGTCTCTAAATACCACTTTCCACTAAAAGGAATGAGACCTGATTGCAGATATCAGGCAGGAAACATATAAGCCAGAACCATTTTGTCATACCAGAAACAAGGAACCTATCAAACTTCACTGTACTCATGTCAAAAGACTTTGGGAGCCACCTTGAAGCAGCTAACACTTGTCAGTAATGGAATAACTTGAACATCAAAAAGAATAATAACTGCAGTGGACTGTAACACATCAAATATGTTAAAACTCTGTGAGTTCCTAGATACTATCAAAAGGCAAAAAAAATCCCTCGTCAATCAACTCTTGAAGATTCTAAGGATCCACCTCATCACTCCAAAAACCAATAAATAAAAGACTCAACCATTTATTCTGACTTTCCTATATGAACTATACCTCAAAGAAAACAAATAGTTGATAGGGAAAAGGTTTTTTTGGTCTTTATATACACCAAACATAGAAGTACTCCAGCTAATAAAGAAGAGGTAGTAAATTTCACTATTTTACAATCCCTAATGTAATAATAGATCTAGGCAGTCATCACTGATGACTAAAAAAATTAGGTGAAATGCTGATGGGGAAATTCATAATAAATGAATCACACTCAAAACACCCAAGCCCACTGATTATTCCTAAGGTCACAATAAGGGAGACAATCAGTCATCAGTTATGTTTCTAGATGTCAGACCATGAATAGTATATAGCACACATCTGAAGTAGCCTTTCCCAGGGGCACCTGGGTGGCTCACTTGGTTAAGTGTCTGACTTTAGCTCAGGTCATGATCTCACAGTTCATGGGTTCAAGCCCTATGTCGGGCTCTGTGCTGACAGCCAGCTCAGAGCCGGGAGCCTGTTTCACATTCTGTGTCTCCCTCTCTCTCTGACCCTCCCATGCCCATGCTGTTTCTCTCTCTCTCTCTCTCTCTCTCAGAAATAAATAAAACATTAAAAACAATTTTTTAATGTTTTTTATTTATTTCTAGGGGAGAGAGAGAGAGAGAGACAGCGTGAGCAGGGGAGGGTCAGAGAGAGAGGGAGTCAGAAGCAAGTCATACTTAGGGGCAGGGAGGGGTGGTTTACAAGGATGTGATATGTTGGGGGTCACCATAGGGTGTGTCCACCACAATGCCTAAAACATAATTAAGGATAGGTGCTTTTATATTAAATTCATAAATTTTCTTATGAAGAATTCTGCATATTCTACCCAGCCAAAATATATTATTGACAGCTCCCTGAAAACTAGCTACCATATGAAAATATGCATATTTTAAGCAATTAACACATCTGACATCGAAGAAATTTATAAGCTAACCTGCTAAGTATTAAATCTGTAGAAAATTTATAAAAGTTGTTGAATTTCTTATAGAATTAACAAAATAAAAATGGTTTTGAGAGATTTAAATATATATGTGTGTATATATCTATGTGTGTATATATTATATATGTAAATATATATAAATAACCCAAATGCCAATGAATGGACTATAAATATATTATCTTAACAAAACTTAAATGATTATCTTAGGTTAAAAAAGCTTAAGCCGTTTTAAAAGGAGAGAAAGAAAAAAGGAACAAAAGAAAAATAAAAAGTTAACCACTCATCTTTGCAATTATATCTGCAAAGACCTTATTTCCAGATAAAGTAACACTTCCAGGTTTCTGGAGTTAGGAACTGAACATATCTTTTGGGGGGACACCCTTCAACTAGCAGCATCCTCTTTTCTACATTTACCTAGTGAGCTCCTCACAGAACATCAATTGTAAGTTGCATGGCCCAGTAAGCAGCAAGATCAGAGTTCTGTTTAAGGTGGATTTGATCACTTGCCAACAAGCAGGGTTTTTTTTTATTTAAAAACTAATGCGAATTAGTAAAGTAAAATAATGTAAAAGTATATGAAGCAAAATATGAATATCTCCTACAATCTCTTTCAAACCCCCTGAGGTGAGCACTCTTACAGCTTAGTGTACAATCGTCCAGAATTATTTATGTATATAAATATGCATAAATATGAATATATGTACATGTATGTAAACACACCTTATATACATTATATATGTTTATAATGTATATAACATAAGTTTATACACACATTTTAAATTCACAAAACTAAGGTCATTAATACAATGGGTAAAGGCGTAATCTCTGGAACTTGAGTCTGAATCCTTGTTTTGCCTCTAGCCGTGTAACATTGGGTACCTTAATAATTTCTCTCAGTCTTTCTTTTCTTCTTTAGAAAATAAAAGATGATGAAAGTACTACTCTATATGGTGATTTTGGAATTAAATGAGTTAATATGTGTGAAGTGCTTAAAACAGAACCTGGCACAGATTAAGTGTTCAGTAAGTTATTATTTAATATTGTTGTGCAGCTGCAGCTTTTTATATATAACACTATATTGTAATGATCATTTTTGTAATATGGATAAAGTGGAAGACATAAAATAGGAGCAAAGGACAGGAACAATGAATGGAAAACAGTAACAAATATGGTAGATATTAGTCCAACTATATCAATAATTTTTAGCGTTAATGGTCTAACTTTTCCAAAGAAAACATCCAGAGGGTTAACAGACACATGAAAAGATGCTCGACATCGCTCATCATCAGAAAAATATAAATCAAAACCACATTGAGATACTACCTCACATCGGTCAGAGTGGCTAAAATTAACTCAGGAAACAACAGATGTTGGCGAGGATGTGGAGAAATGGGAACCTTCTTGCACTGTTGGTGGGACTGCAAACTGGTGCAGCTGCTCTGGAAAACCGTGGGGAGGTTCCTCAAAAACTTAAGAATGGAATTACCCTATGACCCAACAATAGCACTATTAGGAATTTATCCAAAGGATACAGGAGTGCTGATTCATAGGGGCACATGTACCCCAGTGTTTATAGCAGTGCTATCAACAATAGCCAAATTATGAAAAAAGCAATGTCCATAGACTGCTGAATGGATAAAGAAGATATATATGTGTACACACACACACACACACACACACACACACACACACACACACAGGAATACTACTTAGCAAGGGAAAGGATGAAATCTTGCCACTTGCAACAACATGGATGGAACAGAAGGGTATCATGCTAAGTGAAATAAGTCAGTCAGAGAAAGACAAACATCATGTTTTCACTCACATGTGGATCTTGAGAAACTTAGCAGAAGACCATGGGGGAAGGGAAGGAAAAAAAATGGTTACAAACAGGGAGGAAGTCAAACCATAAGAGATTCTTAAATAAAGAGAACTGAGGGTTGATGGGGGGGGCGGTGAAAATGGGTGATTGACATTGAGGAGGGGACTTGTTGGGATGAGCACTGGGTGTTGTATGTATCAACGTACATCACAGGAGATTCATCACAGGAATCTACTTCTGAAGCTAAGAGCACACTGTATACACTGTATGTTGTTAGCTAACTTGACAATAAACTATATAATAATAATAATAAATAAAGTTAATGGTCTAAATACACCAATTAAAAGACAGAGATTGTCAGGTTGAATCAAAAAATTATCAAGAGAATGAGAAGACAAGACACGGACTGGATATTTGCAAAAGACATATCTGTTATCCAAAAATACACAAAGAACTCTGAAAACTCAACAAAATAAACAACCTGATTTAAAAATGGGCCAGAGTCACCTGAGTGGCTCAGTCAGTTAAGTGTCCAACTCTTGATTTTGGCTCAGGTCATGGTCTCACAGTTGTAAGATGGAGCCCTGAGTCGGGCTTCACACTGGGCATGGAGCCTGCTTAGGATTCTCTCTTTTCATCTCCCTCTCCCTCTGCCCTTTCCCCCCACTCTCACTTGCGCATGCTCTCTTTCTCTCTCTCTCAAAAAAAAAAAAGGGGGCGGGGAGGGGAGCTAAAGGAGTGTCTGGCTGGCTCAGTCAGTAGAAGATGTGACTCTTGATCTCAGGATTGTGCGTTCAAGCCCTATGTTGGTTGTAGAAATTACTTAAAAAATAAACACTTTGGGTAGCTCAGTTGGTTAAGCTTCCAACTTCGGCTAAGGTCGTGATCTCATGGTTTGTGAGTTTGAGCCCTGAATTGGGCCCTATGCTGACAGCTCAGAGCCTGGACTCTGCTTCAGATTCTGTGTCTCCCTCTCTCTCTGCCTCTCCTCCACTTGAACTCTGTCTCTCTATCTCTCTCAAAACTAAACATTTTTTAAAAATTTAATAAATAAAAAATAATTTTTTAAATAGAAAGGCCAAAATTCAGAACACTGACAACGCCTAATGCTGACAAGGAGGTGGAACAATAGGAACTCTTCTTCACTACCGATGGGAACACAAAATGGGACAGTCACTTTGGAAGACAGTGTGGCAGTTTCTTACAAAACTAAACATACTCTTACCGTATGCCCCAACAATCGCACCTTTGTTATTTACATAAGTTGAAAAGTTATATCCACACAGAAACATTCATACAGATTTTATAGCAGCTTTATTGATAATTGCCAAAACATGGAAGCAACCAAGATATCTTTCCGAAGGTAAATGGATAAATAAAGTGTGGTACATCCAGACAATTGACTATTACTCAGCACTAAGAGCAATCAAACCGTGAAAAGATATGGGGAAACTTAAATACATATTACTAAGTGAAGGGCACCTGGGTGACTCAGTTAAGCGTCCAATTCTTGGTTTTGGCTCAGGCCATGATCTCACCGTTTTCATTAGTGGAGGCCCACATCAGGGTCCGTGCTGACAGTGCAGAGTCTACCTGGGATTGTCTCCCTGTCCCTCTGCCCCTCCCCAACTCGAGCTGTCTCTGTCTCAAAATAAATAAATGAATTTTTAAAAAATTACATAGTACTAAGTGAAAGTAAACATGAAAAGCCAATACTTGGTTCCAACTATATGACATTCTGGAAAAGGCAAAGCTATGGAGACAGTAAAAAAGACCAGTTGTTGCCAGGGCTTAGGGTGAAGGGAGGCATGAATAGGTGGGACACAAGAATTTAAGGGCAGTGGAAATGTTGTGTATGATCCTATATTATGGTGAATATGTGTCAGTGTACATTTGTCCAAACCAAGTGAGTGTACAATACCAACAGTGAAACCTAATGCAAACTATGGACTTTGGGTGATAATGATACATCAGTGTAGGGTCATCCATTGTAGCAAATGTACCACTCTAGTGCAGGTTGTTGATAGGGAGCTTTGAGGAGAGAGAGGGGTGCCAGGAGGGGTGAGAAGTATGTGAGAACTCTGTACCTCCCACACAATTTTACTATGACTCTAAAACTTCTATTTATTTTTTTTTAATTTAATGTTTATTTTTGAGAGAGAGGGGGAGACAGAGCATGACTGGGGAGGGGAAGAGAGAGGGAGACACAGAATCCAAAGCAGGCTCCAGGCTCCAAGCTGTCAGCATAGAGCCTGACCCGGGGCTCAGACTCACCAACCACAAGATCATGACCTGAGCAGAAGTCAGGCACTTAACCGACTGAGCCACCCAAGCACCCCTAAAACTTCTCTTTAAAAGTCCATGTAAATAGGGGTGCCTGGGTGGCTCAGTCAGCTAAGCGTCCAACTTCAGCTCAGGTCATGATCTCACAGTTTGTGGGTTTGAGCCCTGCATCAGGCTCTGTGCTGACAGCTCGGAGCCTGGAGCCTGTTTCAGATTCTGTGTCTGCCTCTTCCCTGCTCACACGCTGACGCTCTCTGTCTCACTCTCAAAAATAAATAAAGATTTTTTAAAAACAATTTTTTAAGTCTATATAAATATATAAACAACTTAAATTTTAAAAACAACTTCCACCACTGATTGAATATATTGAAATATCACTCTTCCATCCACCCTTCCCTCTTTTTTAGCAAGATTAAGGTGGGATAATTTGAAACTTAGTTGATTCCTTATGCTAAAATACAATTGAAATGCGCCTTTGACAGTTTTGTTGTAATTTGTACAATATATTATCATAGATTTCATTTACAGAAAATAATATTTGTATTATATTTCACTTCTATATAGATGAAATACAATAAAAATCAAGGTGATAGCTCGATATCTACACTCAGGAGCCAAGTAACTGATGTAAAAAATATTATGTCCAAAAATATTGATGAAATTTTGGAAACTGAAGAAAGATTGAATGTCTTCACTGATAGAAATGATGATCTCCAAACAACTGTAAGTGATGCTCACCTGTCTTGATATCCAAACAATGCTCTAAGACTTGAGACAGATGGCCAAAAGGAAATATGTACCAGGAATACTATGAGAGAATCCTATGTCACCAAACTATGGGTTTATCAAAAAATTAGTGGAATGCAACTAAAATATTTTTTAATTATAAAACAATGAAAATGTAAAACCCATTAAAGTAAGAGATACTTATTTGCATAACATGTATTTCTCACATTAAAAAATCACACAGATTAGTCAACAAATAAATTGCAAAAGGAAAAAAAGAGGGAGAACTTACCAAAAAATGGATTTAGAAGGTGTATCATTTGCAATGTGTGGTCTTTATTTGAAATTTGATTCAAACAAACTCTAAAAATGAAAATTTACAACTTCATGAATAAATAGATATTTGAACTCTGGATATGACAGTAAGGAATATTATTAGTTTTTAGCTGTGATAATGGTATTATGGTTATGTTTTTAAAAAGTCATTACTTATTAGAAATACATATTAAAATATCTTGAATGAATTTATATGATGTCTGAGGTCAGCTTCAGAATAGTTGAGGAGTAGGGGAGTAAAATGAGGTATAAATAAAACAGAATTAGCCATAGGTTGATAATTGTTAAAACTAGATATTGAGTATATAGGGTTTCATTATACCATTCTGTCAATTTTTGTATGTGTTCAAGTTTTTCTATTAGAAGATAGTTTTGGGTGGGACGCCTGGGTGGCACAGTCCATTAAGCATCTGACTCATGATCTCACAGTTTGTGAGTTCAAGCCCCACATCAGGATCTGCACTGATGGTGTTGAGCCTGCTTTTGATTCTGTCTCTACTTCTCTCTGCCCTTCACCCACTTGTGCTTCCTCCCCCTCCCACCTCCCTTTCCCTCTCCCTCTCCCTCTCTCTCTCTCTCTCAAAATAAGTAAATAAATTTAAGGTGAAATTTTAGAAAATAGTTTTGAGGCACCAGGGTGGCTCCGTTGCTTAAGCATCCAACTCTTGATTTCAGCTCAGGTCATGATCCTAGGGTCATGGGATCAAGCCCCATGTCCAGCTCCACACTCAGCATGGAGACTGCTTGGGATTCTTGCCCTCCCTATGCCCCTCTCCCCTGCTTGTGCTCTCTCTCTCAAACAAGAAATAGTTTTAAAGCAATAACTACTTCAGAGCATTTTAATTTTTATTTTTACATATCTTTTCTAGAAACATGGCCACCAGGTAAACCAAAATATGCACTTATATTTTTACTCACTAAGTTCTATTGATGCTACTTCCTAAATTTTTTTGCGTTCATGGTCTCATTTTTTCACTTTTAAATTAATGAAGATATTACTTACATAAAATAATAACTATAGAGTTTGATGAATTGTAGTATTTGTGTACAATAGTGTAACCACAGTCAAGTTACAGAATAGTCCTTTCATCTTAAAACCTTCCTCATGCCCTCTGCAGTTGACTCTTTCCCCCACCCCTGATCCCAGCCTACCATTGATCTGCTTTCTGTCACTATAGTGTTGCCTTTTCTAGAATTTCATATAAACAAAATTATACAATGCATATTGTGTTTGACTTCTTGACTTAGTTATGTTTTGATATTCATGTTGTTAATATTTTATTCCTTTTCTTTGCTGGATAATACTATACAAAATGGCTATATTCCACCTTCTACCCATTCTAGTGCCACTCCAAGCTCTGTTATCTCTTGTGTAACTATGGTAATCCCTGAATTTAATTGTTCTCCCAGATAGTTCTGTTCTAATCCAGTCATCCTCCACACTGGAACTAGAACATTCTTTAAAAATGCAAGTATGATGGTTTCCTTTCCTGTGCAAAAGCCTTTTTATTTTGGCATAGTTCCAATAGTTTATATTTGCTTTTGTTTTCCTTGCCTAAGGAGACATATCCATAAATAGGTTGCTAAAACCAATGTCCAAGAAATTATTGCCTATATTTTAGTTTTGCGGTTTCCAGTGTCACATTTAGCCATTTTGAATGTATGGTGTAAGAAAGTTGTTCAGTTTCATTCTTCTTTTAAATTTTTTCTTTTAATTTTAGAGAGAGAGAGCCTGAGTGAGGGAGAGGGGCAGAAGGGGAGGGAGAGAGAGAGAGAGAGAGAGAGAGAGAATCTTAAGCAGGTTCTATGCTCAGTGTGGAGCCCAACATGGGGCTTGATCCTACAACCCTAGGATCATGACCCGAATGGAAATCAAGAGCCAATGCTTAACCTAGGTGCCCAGTTTTATTCTTTTGAATGTGGCTGCCCAGTTTTCCCAACACTATTGGAGACCATCCTTTCCTATATTTGTGCTTTCTTTGTCATAGATTAATTGACCACATAAGCTGGGTTTATTTCTGGACTCTCTATCCTGTTCTGTTGATCTATATGTCTATTTTTGTGCCAATGCCATACTGTTTTGCCTACTATAGCTTATATGTAGAACCTAAAAAACAAATCAGATGAACAAACAAAACAGAAACAGACTCATAAATACAAAGAAGAAACTGGTAATTGCCAGAGGGGAGGGTTTGGGAGGAATGCGCAAACTAGGTGAAGGTGATTAAGAGGCACAAACTTGCATTTATAAGTCACAGAGATGAAAAGTACAGCATAAGAAATACATCAATAACATTATAATAGTGTCATACTGTGATTGATGGTGGCTGCACTTACCATGAGGAGCACTGAATAATGTACACAGTTGTGGAATCACTATGTTGTATACCTGAAACTAATCTAACACTGCATGTCAACTATACTTCAGCAGTAAAAAAATTTTTAATAAGACAAAGGAAAATGCAAGTATGAGCATTATCTATAGCCTTCTTACACCCCCCTCCCCCACCGCGGTGTGCCTTTGTCCACACAGCACAGAGTCCAACCTCCTTAACATGATGAGCTTTCTTCTGACCATATCTCTAGTCACATCACCAAGAGACCACAGTCTTGCAATTTATAAATCTCAAAAAATACTATGCCAACTATTTGTAGTCCTCCAAATTACACGTTGCATTATTTCACACCTTTATACACATTGTTCCCCTTCTTCTTTGCCCTAGAAAACTTCTACTCAAGACCCAGTTCAAGGGTCATCTATCTCCTCATTGCCCAAACTGAGCTTATCACTCTCTCATCTCTGCCATCCCTGAATCTTTTTTGTTCACTGATTCATTCAACAAATATATTTTGAGGATCTACTGTCTGCCAGGCTCTATATGAATAACTACAAATATAATGATGAATAGATATCTATAACCTTAGCAAACAAGACCTCAGTGTTAGTTAAATTAATACTATTTATTTACACCATTTTTATAGCAGGGAAAAAAATAAGGTCACATCAGTTTATGTAACCTACAAAGGAGAATTAATAAAGTAAATAATTGTCTAAGATTACATTTGTATTTTATGAGAGTTATAACACAAGAGCTCAAATAAATGTCCAAGCCATTTAGATTCATTCAATATTCATTAATAAATGTTCTTCAGGAGACTAATATGTACAAAATAATATGTTGGTCATCTTCAGAAATAAAATAATAAAATAAGATGTTTGCCATAGTTTAACCTACTACGGGAGACAGATTTGTACAAACTTAACTCCAATATTAAATGTGGGTTAAGTGTCACAATAGATGGATAAAGTGTAACAGCCAAACAGTAGAGAACTGATAGCATTACATTCTTACAAAGCCTTTGAAATGGCAGTCATAAAAGCCCACAATCAATATTGCCTCATTCTGTTACATTAGGAAGCATGTATAATATTTAAATGCTATGTGATCAGAGGCCATATTTGGGGATCAAAACTACTTTAGTATGAAAATTTATTTCAAGCATATGAAAAAGTTTTCAGAATATTACATCTAATACCCTTGTAATCATCAGTCTACTTTATATGACCTAATATTTTGCCATATTTGATCAGGGCCTTTGTTTTTTATAGAAATAAATTAGGGGCACCTGGGTGGCTTTGTCAGTTGAACGTCTAACTTCAGGTCAGGTCATGATCTAATGATTTACAAGTTCGAGCCCTGCATTGGGCTCTGTGCTGACAGCTCAGAGCCTGGAGCCTGTTTCAGATTCTGTGTCTCCCTTTCTCTCTGCCCTTCCCTCCCTCAACTCTGTCTCTCTCTCTCTCAAAAATACATTTAAAAAAATTATAAAATAATAATAATAAATTAGACATAATGATTAAAGTCCATGTGTACCTTTCCCAAGCCCATTCCACTTCCACACCAGAAGAACCACTATCATGAATTTGATGTGAATCATTTGTATGCATGCTTGATTCCTGATATGTAGCTATAGGTACATATGTATCTACATTCTTAGTTTGCATTTTTAACTTTATGTTTATGACATTATAATGTACATATAATGAACTAAAACCTGAGTTTTTAGTTCAACATTATGTTTATGAAATGTATTTGTTTGGACACACTTAGCTTTATTTTATCAATTTAACTTCTCAAAGCATATCATTACTACTTAAACACAGTGGGGGGTGGGTCTGGGTGGCTTAGTCAGTTAAGCATCCAATTTTTGGTTTCCACTCAGGTCATAATCTCAAGCTTCATGTGTTCCAGCCCCACATTGGGCTCTGAGCTGACAGCGTGGAGCCCGTGTGGGATTCTCTCTCCCCCCCTCCCTCTCTGCCCATCCCCTATTCTCTCTTTCTCTCTCTCCCTCTCAATAAATAAATAAAATGTAAAAAAAATAAAAATAAATAAATTGGGGTGCCTTGGTGGTGCTGTCAGTTAAGCATCTGACTTCAGCTCAGGTCATGATCTCACGGTTTGTGAATTCAAGCCCCGTGTCGGGCTGTGTGCTGACAGCTCAGAGCCGGGAGCCTGCTTCAAACTCTCTGCCCTACTCCTGCCTGCACTCTGTCTCTCTCTGTCTCTCAAAAATAAATAAACGTTAAAAAAATTTTTAATAAATTAAATAAATACAGTATACTTATTTTTTCTCCTTTTAATAAACATTAATGTAGA